GACAGCCGGATAACTGAATCTAATATGTAGTTAATGCATTTTCGACTTGGATAAACGGAAACAACGCAGTCGCCATGCCGGGCACATGATAAGCGAACGCATTGCTGATATGCGACAGTGATAAGGACAGCCACTCACTTTGTAACGTTGGTGGAGTGATTGACCTATCTACTCACCCAGTTTGCCCATTAAGTCCTCTAAAACGTAATCCACAGCCATTTTCACTTAGATAAATAGCGTAATTGTTCAACAATAAATATTGTTCCAGGTGAGAAATACCTTCCCTCTTGATTCAACTCAATAAATCAAGTGTTAACAATTTGCATCTTCTGATGGCTTATACTTGATCGCAATACACTTGATGTAAATAAGTTGGTATTTGGATTATCAGAGCCACGAGAAGCGGGACTGAGACCCCAAGCCGTTTGTAACGTGCGCTGGAGATTGGCAAGCGCCGCCGTGCTGGCAAAAAGCTAAATGCGAACTGAATGGGCTTTGAGTACGCGAAATGAGTTTCGAGTCGTGACTGAATAACACTCACATACATATACATGAACATATCATATAAACCCAACAAATACTCGCACTCACACAGATAACGAAACGCTCCCGCCGATATGTGTAGAAGAGCTCGACGATTGAGAGTGGATCGCGGTGTTTGTGTTTGCTAAATTTGTTGTAGCCCTCATTGTTGTTGCTTTTCAATTCTGTGACATAATTCTAGATCGATAAGCTTACAAATCAACAGAAAGAGAGGGATAGTGTGTGTGTGTGTGTGTTATAAATCAGCATCATGTGTTTCCAAGCAGCGTGTGGATCGCAAGATTAGATGTAATTGCTAGTTGCCAAGTCGCTCAGAGCCAAATTTTACGTTATTAAAGCTTGAAGGCTCGTCTAAATGAGTATTAGATATGGATTAAGTTACATTGATTATCATTTCACGCAACTGTTTTACAGGTATTCATTGTGATGGAGAAAATAATACAAAAAAAAAATCTAAAATAAAAAAATAATATAATTATATTTCCAATATTCTGCTCTGTCAGAATAAATTCCGATAAATATAATATATATTTGCAAAATAAAAAGAAAAGTATTTGAATCGTAAAGAATATATTTAGTCATATGTTTTATTTAAACTGTTTTCACATAATCATTATGTTAATTAATATTTAAAAAATCTTATTGCAAAGAACCTCATGAAGGTCTTTAGCATGGAATCTAATTTTAAGTCATATTTATTTTTTATTTCATTCAAATACAATTTTTTTTTTTTAACATATTTCTTTTTTATTTCTCAGTAACTTTTTCATAGCAATTCCCATCAATCAATATATCTATTTATTTTCAAACATACATATGTATTATATCTTTTTATAGCCTTACTAAATTTAATCTTTGTTTTTAAAAAAAATTTTTAAGTGTTAAATTTTAGCAATGAGTGACCCATCGATATCGGATCCAATGTCCTTTTTATATTTGGACATGCTATCCAGAGTTTTATTAGAAGAAGCTGAAGAGGCGGCAAAAGAATTTGATCTTAAAATGAATTTCATACGTGAACAAGAAAGCAATTGCTTGGAGAATGGGAAACAAGTAAGATATTGAAACGAAGTAATGTTCAGATTTTCGCCACTAATCGATCGTCTTCAGCTTATTACCGTGGATATGCTTATTAACAAAATGCAAGAGTGTATCTTTCAAACGGAGCTCGAATTACAGGAGAACGAAGTTCAGTTGGATGAAATGGATAAACTTCTATCACGATATCAGGCCAACTACATAGATTTCTCAAAGGGCCCAGAGTGGATACCCCTGAAACCTAGCAGCTATCGTACGTTCCTGAAGCTACTTTTATCGGCGGACCAATCGACTGCGCAATGTAACAACCTAAAAGAGGAACTTAAAGCTTATAACGAAGAAGCCATCAAGCGTTTAGAGTCCCCAAATTTGGTGAGAATATAGAATAACCGTATCTATGACACATGCTTTAAGATATTTCCATAGGTAACTAGGATAATGGACTATCATTTATCAGCAATAGCTGGACTGGAAAAGAAACTGGATAAGCTACACAAATTGGCCAACAAGGTTATTATAAGCTATAATAAAATATGCAGAAAAGTAACAGGCAAGATAATGAAAGACAAACGCCACAAGAAACCCCGCCCAACTACAGCTCGTCATAAATTTTGAAAATTAATATTCAATATAACGGTTTATATGATACATATGTATGAATAAGTAGGCAATTAAATGCATTCAAGTTCAACTTTGTTCTTAACATTACGAAGATATTTGGCTTGTTAATTGTTAATTCGAGTCACGGAAAAAGAGCACATCGTCGGCTATAATGCTGGTGCTTGTCTTTTGATTGCCCTGTTGGTCGGTTATTTCGCCGTATGTTATCTTGCCCTGCACCATGGTGCGTTGCCCTTTCTTGAGGTACTCCAACACAGTTTCACGCAAATTGGGCTTGAAGACTACCACTCGATGCCAGTCGGTGCGTTGCGCCCAGTCCCCATTCTCATATCTGGCGAAAGAAATATTTGTGTTACAGTTACATTATATGTATATATGTGTTACATTTCTACTCACTTGTAATTGGTGTGCGTAGCTACTGAGAAGGTGACCACCGGATGCTCCACCGAGCCGCGGAGTTGTGGATCTGCACCCACACGCCCCAATATAGTTACTGTGTTGACAGCTATAAATTTGAAATGTATAATAGGACTTGTTAATAGATTAATGCAGATCTAAAAATGATTTTCCACGCACTTTTTTCAATTTTGGCGGGCGCTGTGGCCGTCGTGTTTGCGACACCTCGTGCCGGCAGAGTCCAAAATCCATTTAGCACTGGCTTAAGCTGTAAATTCAGAAATATGTGCCATTATATTCACATTTCATTGTTCAAAGTAGTAAAACTATTAACTTACAATGTGTCTAGCTTGTTGCATCATTTTTATGCGTGCTTTATTAACCGGCAATGCGTTTTAATTTTTGCAAACAGCTGTTTAGCACAGACGCAGCCAACTTAACTCAAATTGTTACCGCTTGTGGCGCACTCTGTTGGAAATTTCTGCAACATATCGATGAGTCGTAAAGCCTTTTAAATGTAATTTTAAATATAATATTTAATATAAAATATTAACTGAAAAATTATTATTGAATAAAGAATATCATATCAAGTGATAGTATGAATAAATAAACCTACACTGGTTAAAGACGACAATGTATTTTCGTTCATTTTTTAGCATACCCAAACATTTTTGCCACCAGTATTCTAATTGGCTAAATTTTTCTACTGATTGTATCATAGATTTACTCTATCGGTTATTATGGGCACGACTACATGCTCGCTGTATATAGCTCATTGCTCCAACACCCAGTATACGATACCAGGGCGCGCTCTGTTGGACAATTTTTGGAAACTAGCTATAGTACAGAAAACAGTCGACAGTGGCTCCTTAATTAATATATTTTTTACAAACTTGATTAGGTGTTGGTTTTTCTGCCTCAAATAATAGACACCAGAGGCAAACAGATCTTTTTTTCACACTTGACATGAGCGCTCAAGCTAAAATGCTAAATGTAGTTATGGTAGCCTGTCTTTAAATTAAAACTTACTACTTACTACTTAATAAGTAGTTTATCTAGCAAACAGTTAAATAGATATGTATGTACATCTATATTTTTGTACATATGTATGTACATATAGCACAAACAATCAATAATGGATGAAAATAATAAATATGTTAATATAGAAAAAAATATTTTTTGCTTAAAGCATAGTGCATATTGTAGGTTAAAAAATAAGTATACAGGTGGAATTTCTTGCGTCCATTTATAGACATGGATAAAATCGTTGCGAAGCATTGCTGAACAGGATGTACGATCGCCGATTGTCTTCGTTTTACTGCCGAAGCGTCATTTACGAGTCGCCATTTTGTGGATCCATTTTGTTTTTGGAGCAGCCGATTAGCCGCCAAGGCCCACGGGAGGCCGGCATTGATTTCCACTGAACAATTCAAGGCATTGCATCCAGCTGAGGTGAATGTGAAACAAAACGGAAGAGCGAATTCTCTATTTCATATATTTTCGTTTCGTTTGTTTGTTGTCTGTTGCTGCAGCAGCAGCTTCAGCCTGCTATTCGCAGCAAGAGCAATAGCAATAACAACAACCTAAGCGACAACAACAAAACCAACAACTCTTCGACTTTGCATTCAAATTCAGGCGATGACGACAACCAACCGACAAAGACGAACGGCCGGGCGGGCGGGCGTGCAGATGGGCAAGCGGCAAAGTAGATGTCGATGTCGATATCGGCGTCGGCGTCGGCGTCGGCGTCGGCGTTACTCTTGGTTTTGGTGCCGGGCTGCTGCCCAAAGAATATTGCCGACCCGAGCCGCAGCATGAGTCTTGGCGTTATTTGATTTGTGCGTCAGAACAGCCGCTTCGTAGGGTACTAAGACAGCTGTAGATAGTCCGTCCCAGATGGGTTTCAGTGTTGGAAATGCTTCGAATTCTATTCTTCAAGTAGGTCATGTGAATATATAAAGTGCTGAATTTTATGATTAAGAATTAAAATATGATCATCTTTTAAATAGAATTATTTGCAATTAAATAAAGTTAGAAAATCGTAAAATGATTCCATATTCATCATTAAATAAAAATATATGTATCAGTATATAGTTAAAGATAAATTAAGTATAAAATATGTTCAATAGATATTTAATTCAATGTCATAAAGCCCCTTGAATAACTTAACTATATCGATCGTGTATAGTTAATTAACTTATCTGTTTTTAATACAACTAACTGAATGATCTTTAGCCAATATTTAGTTTATAGAGCCGACTTCTATATTCATTTAAAATTATATTTTTCATTATATAAGAAAAGTTTTTTTCCACTTCTTCCTATATATTGTAGCGCATAGCTATCCCCAGTGTAGTCCCAATCTAAGGCATTATTCATGCTGTCGTTTTCGAGTGCTGCCATCGTCGTCGTCGTCGGTCGGTCGGTCGGTCGCTTCGCCTCACCTCTCCACTCTTCTCTTCGCTATATTTCGTTTCGTCTCTCTTCGCTATCGTCTGCTGGCGTTGTTTCCAGCGCGCGTGTAGCTGGGCATATGTGTGAATGTGTGTATACATATATGTGTGTGTATCTGTATGTGTGTGGGCTGTGTATTTGTATCTGTATCTGCTGTGTATATGAGGCTATGGCTGTGACTCCGGCTGTTCGCTGTTGCGATACTAACGAACGAACGTCCCAAATGTCGACGTTGCCGTTGCCGTTGCTTTTGCTGTTGCTGTTGCTGTTGTTGCTTTTTGTATATTTTCAGTTTGTATAGCGAATGGCATGGTACGACGCCTGAGGAGGGAGCTGGCTGGTTGCTGTTGCTGTTGCTGAAGTGGTTGCTGTTGGCTGGGCTGCTCGAGGACGTCCGTTCGTTCATTTCGTATCGTTTCGTAGCGTTTCGTTTCGTCTTTTGGTTCGTTTGTGCGTTTGCGTGCAAAAGCAACGAAAACTCATATTCATTTTATAGTGAAACTCAACTCAACGCAGCTTAAGCTTAATGTACAGAAGTAGCAGCAGCAGCAGCAGCAGCAGCCGCAGCAACATTCCAACTGGCAGCTTAAATGTTGTTGCTGTTACGGCTTGGTTTCTTCGTTGGTTGGCTGCCTTCGCCTGCGCGAAGGTTTTTGAAAAACGCGCGCAGCTGTTACAGCAATTGGGTAACATTAGCCTCAGGAACCCATTTAAAGCAAATCAGTATTTGCTCGCCTGCTAGACTCTCAATATAATAGAACTTAAAGAGTAATTTAGTTGCGAATGAGAAATACACTCTTCACCTATCCATACTTTCTAGTCCTAATCGACTAATATGGAGCCCTTAGATTCTATATTCTATATAATTTTTCGTTTATATTCTATATACTATTTAAAATCATAAGACTTGTGCCGGCATTTGCATCTGAAGCTGACTGCGCACAATTTTACCAAAATTTAACAGAGCAACAGAAACAGAAACTGAAACTTAACCAAACGAATGTTCGCATTAAAGTTTATTTCGAAACCAACTCACTGGCGGCAGCAGCAGCAGCAGCAGCAGCAGCAGCAGCAGCAGCAACAGCAACGGCAACAGAGCCAGCAGCAGCAGTGGCAGCAAAAAAAAAGCCCCAACAGCAACGCAAATGAAAAACGCCAACGAACAACGAACGAGCGCACAGAAAGCAGCACACAGCAACAACAACAATAATAAAAAAAAAAAAAGAGAAAAAATCAAGTAAAATTACGACAAGCAAAGAGGCAGCAGTGACGGCAGCAGCGAGGGCAGCGGCAGCAACGTTGAAAGAAAACAAGAAACTTCGTCGCAGCAGCAACGAATGTGGGGAGCAGGGCGTCCACATGGCAGAGAGAGCGAGAGAGAGACAGTGAGAACTAGGTAGGGATGTAGAAGCGGGAAGAGTGGGACAAGGGAAAGCAGCCGCACAAAGTGTGTGACTGTTTGAGTGCCTCTGTGTGTGTGTGTGTGTGTGTGCGGTGGGGCGAAGGTGAAGCATGCGATGGCGTTGGCTGCTATAACGTCAGGCAAGACTGAGGCGAAAACGACGACAGCGATGAAAAAACCCAGCACCGAACGAACCAACAGTGCCAGCAAAAATTTATAATAAAAGCAGCAGCAGCAACAGCAACAACAACGACAACGACAGCGGCAGACGTTGAAGGCAACAACGATGGCGTTGCTTGCAACTCTGAACAGTGCCAGGCCAACCAGCCCGTCAACTATCCAACGAGCAGCACAGCTTTAGCTGCCTCTCCAAAGAAAAGAGAAGAGAAGAGAGATATACCCTGCATCTTAGTAAAAGAAGTTTATAGAAATTTCGTAAACATCATTATTTAAATATGTATTTAATTGAGCTTGATCTGATAAAACCTAAATTAGAGCTAGAGAAACAAGAATTTATTTAAATGAACAATAATTTATTATTAGATTCCAAATATTGCAAACATTTATCATTTATAAACATTTTATTGATTGCTTTCTCTTAAATTTAAATTCTAGTTTATTTCGTTCGTTTTGTAACTTTTCCTACTTTTACATACTCTATAGTACTCTATATAGCTGATATCTCGAGATCTTATTTTCAATCTAAAATATCTAAAATATTATTGAAGAAATAATTTAATATTTTATATCTATTTTAAATACTAGTTAATGTATTGAAGCCATCTTAATTGATTTATTGAATCGACTCTGCCGCAAGAGTATGCCAAATGAAAGAGCGAACATCGTTAGAGTTAAAGTCGTCGTGTTCGTTGTCGAATTCATCGTCGTCTTCGTCACTGCGGGCTCTGAGCTGAGCTGAGCTGAGAACAGAGCACCGACAGTGACCGAACATTAAAGTTGAAGTAAAGTTGGAATTTGTGCCTGGGCCCCCCGTTCTGCCATAGCCTCCCATGCCCGCCTTTTGTAATCAGAATAAACGAATATTCGCTTAAGCTCTGCACATTGGTGCAAAGTACAATTGCAAAGAAAGATCTGGATTAACGAATGACTAGAACTTTCCTTAACACTTTCGGTTCAGTCATAAATTATTAACTGTACAAGCATTTTTGTTTTTACAAATTATAGATTATACAAGAAATATTACCATAAGCAATGAAGAAAATGAGTTTAGAATTAGTTATCTAGGTCATATGACACTTAGATAAATTTAAGGAAAGTTCTTGTATGTTTTGTTTTCCAAATAAATATGACTTAATATAAATTAATATTTTAATATGAAAGTACTATAGTACAGAGTTGGCTTATGCCAATACTTATAAAAGTATTGAGGGTATATTGTTATTCCTAATATGATTTTATCATACATATATATTTCTATCCTTTGCTCCATTCTAATCACGTAGATCCACTGTTCACTCCAATCATTCAACCTTACCAAGCGGCAGGGCAAAACGCAAATGTCAAGAAGAACGAGCGAACCCAACGAACGCAGTTCTGTCGGCAACAACAACAACAATGACGACGACGACGACAACGACGACGATGAAAACACCAAGGAGTGGGCGGCAGCCCAAGTGTTGGAACGCTAGTGCTGTCTACCAGGAGCTGAGTACGAGGCCTAAAATATTCCCGCCAGCTCTCCCCAGAGCGCCTCACACCACATTTCAGTACGATAAAGGAAATGCCACACCACTGTGACAATACATTTGCTAGAGCTGGCCCCCAAAGCCAGGGCATACCGTAGCCTGAATAGTCGTCCTCGGTGCTCGGTGCTCGGTCCTCATCGACGTCGTCGTCTTCGTTGTCGTTGTAGTTGTTGTTTTCGTTCTAAGCGACGCACATGGCCGCATACCACAGAGCGGAGCACACTCTGCTCGAGCCCTGAGTCAGAACCTGCAGTCGACAACAGCAACAACAACAACAATGTCGAATGTCGGTCCGCTCTTATACGATTGCTGCTTCATGTGCTTTAGTGCCGAGCCAACACTGGCTCCAGCACAGGCTACATCAGCACCGCCGGCACCGTCACCGCCAACAACTCTGGGCTCTGGCTCCACTGCTTGAATTTTGTTGCCGCTGCCATTGCCGTTGCCTCTGCCTCTGCCTTATTCCCATTTACAGCGTCAGCTCTGAAACGTAGGGCTTGGGACTTTAGTTCTGACTCTGACTGTGTCTTTGGCTCGAGCAGTCGAGCTACGACCATTGCCGTCTGCTGCTGGCTGGTTTGTAGGTTCTGGTTCTCAAGCAAGCACATGGCTAACAGCAACAAAAGCGACGTTGACGACGACGACGACCAGTTGCCACTTGCGCAACGCAAAAAAAAAAAAAAAAAAAAAAAATCGAAAAGAAAAGAAAACCCAACAGCAACATCGATCGATGTATGTGTATAAAAATAGAGGGAGCCTTACTCTCATATGGGTAGGTGGGAAATAATTATCATATTTGGGGTAAATATATATGTATATCTAGAGCACATGAAGGGTATAAGTACAAATATATTATATTATTGGAAGTTCAGACGAATGTATTAGCTATAAATATTATAGTTAGCGGCTGATCAGATTAAGGACAGCTTAATTTAGCCATAGCATTAACTAATAAAACAAAACCATGTAGAAAATAATTTTGTAAAATTAAATAAAAAGACTTTGATTTAAAAGAAAATATATTTTACCTGATTTCTTTAATCAAGTGTTATATAATTCAGATTCTGCATATATCCATATATATATATATATATAAACATCCTCCCTTAGCTCTGGTTTTCGAAAATTCTTAGAATTTGTTTTCATATTAATTCAAATGATCTGAGAATTTTAAAAGAAAAATTTAATTATCATCAAATTTATATGGCCTAAAATTCTGCTAGATAGTGACCTATCATAGAAATATAAGGAAATCTTAACTTAGATCAAATCTGAAACGTTTGCCATTCAACCAATATTTTGACATGGTGAGTTTTAAAATTATCGATTGTCATAAAAACATATTTACTTAAAATTAAGCCTTATAGAGTAAAGCCGAGGACTTCGGCCTAATGAAAATATGTGTATAAAAAAGTTATCCAAAATTATTATAGAGTTAACAAAAGACACCAACTGATCAAGCCCATATCAAGTAGAGATTCCTGCTGTATTTGATAGATCTAACTATTTAACCATATTGCCTTTGCAAATTTAATCCCGCTTCTAGTCAATTTGATTCCCACAGTTTTGAAAACTCTTCAGGCGTACGTGCGTCCCATTAAGCAGTTGGGTTAAATGGGGCTCTCTCGATTTCTGTTGAAATAATGCCAAGTCAATGGCGCACAGCAATTTGGGACCTTCCAGCGACTTCGGCTTCAGCTTTATTCGCTGTGTGTCATCAAAACAAACAGCAGCGGCGAGTAAGAAACAACTGATAAAACCTGAAAAGCGAATGCGTCATGCGCCCCCAAAAACTGAACTTGTGCTGATTGTGTTTTGCATTTATGTTTGTTGGTTTTTTTTTGTTTTTTTTTTTTTTTTTGCGAATAATGGCGTGGGCAAAAAGTTATCGATGGCGCTCAAAGCAACGCTGCCAGCAGCTCGTTTTGAAAACACCGCCACATTTCAAGGATACCGTTCGTAACGGGTTAGCTATTTACGTCTCGCCTGGCGAACTCTAGCAGAACCCATGCGCCGCAGCTATCCTTCAGCTAGAGTCAGAGCGAACAGCTGGGCATGATTTCTAGCCATTCGCGCCTGCAGCTAGGTTTGCCAATACGACGCAGAGGATTGCACACACGGTCGCACTCACACACACACACACACCGTCGCACACCCACACATGCTAAAAACCTCATTCATTTAGTTTTCACAGAGCGACAGCAACAATAGTTTGTTTCAAGAGTTGGGGGGAGCTCTTTACCGGCTGTCCTGGCTGTTAGGCAGCCTCAACTCATGGCCCAATGCATAAAAATCCAAGGGAAGCGACAGCCGCATAAAGGGTGTCCCAGCCAGCTTAGAGCTGTCCACTATGCTGGGGCTGCAACGGAACACCCTCTATAACGGCACACATTTCAGGCCGTGCTCGCCTGTCAGCCGGTCCCTCGGTCGGACGGTCGCTCACTTTGCTATTCAACGAGCCCAACGTGAAGCACGGCGCGAACGCCGGCGCGGGTTACATTCGTTTAGGGTGAATGCCGCACTCCCAACCGCTTGTACGGACGACCGCCCGGCCGCTCGTTTGCCCGTTTGCCCGTTTGCCTGTCAGCCAGCAACCACCCACTCGGGCAGCAACCCATCCACCCATCCACCCAGTCGTTCGTCCTCGTCCTCGGCGTCGCTGGCGTTGTCGTTGTCGTTTGTTTGTCACAATAGGGCAAAAGTTTCACAGTAACCGTTATGCGACCCACAGACACCACCGCCCCAGCTCAACGTGGAACCCAAATGTCTGCCAGCCAAGCCAGCTACCACCCAACCACCCAGCCACCCACCACACGATCTGCCTGCCAACCAGCCAACCAGTCAGCCATCCAGCAACGTTGTCCGCATCGGCACAGCGACAACCGAACACAGCAAAAAACAGACTGCTGCAGTAGAAAACAGCAGACTCACGAATACTCTAAAATCTATTGTGAATAAGCTTACAGCTTAAACTGTACTCTCTGCCATTTAAATCAAAATTAATTTTCTGATCATACAGGTATTAGATCCCATCCCATACTTTTTTCTTGATTTTCTATAAGCAAACGATAAAAATAAGAAAATAATTATGAATTATTTATATTTGATATTTGACTTAGAGTAAAACGCTTAATGTGAATGGGAGAATTTTTCCGTGAACGACAACCCAATAATTAAGTAACTAAAATTTTCCGATGATAAAAAATTGATAAGCAAATAAAAAGCGACTCGATTATGGTTGAATAAGTTCGTATCCTACTTCTCGGCTCGGTTCGGTTCTTATAAATGGTGTTTTATTTTTAAATGACTCTTATATACTGAGGATCTATAAATTAAAAAAAAAAAATACACATATAGCAAATTATGTATTTAAATATAAATGTGTATACAAATGTATATATTTTTTCATTTTTAAGAACTAAATAAAATGTTAAAAAATTGATTATATGGTCTGCCTTAGATATATTTTTTATTAAACAATTTTTTTAAATTTTACCATAAACAAAAATCATTAATTTACTTTGCTATTATTATTACTATTCAATTTGTATTCCATGCCAAACGCAGCAAACGAATTGATAATTCGTCTATGGCTGTTTTACTCGTTTCATTGTTATAGGGTATAAAACTTGCTCTGAAATACGATGGACTATACATACAGCTATAATACACACAAACACACATTCAACCATATGCATATACACACATATATAGGTATATCTATATACATACATACACATACATATATATACACTGAAAGCATTATGCTTTCATGCGCATGTGTTTGTGTGTATGTAGGAAACTTTTATTGTCAGCACAAACAGACACACGCACACGTACACACACACGCTCAATGTTGCCTCCATGCTCGAGCGAAGGATAAAATGCTGCAAATTCACGGCAACAACAATAAAAACAACAACAACGACAAGAGCGACGGCAACAACAGATATAACAAAAACAACAACGACAACGGAGCACACGGTACGTATACGTATCCATCAGATAGAAAAGGCATCGAGCAGCATGCTGAAATAATGAAGCAGCAAGGACTCTACTCGACTCGAGTCGAGCAAGGCAGCCAGGATAGCTGGCAAGCCTTGGCAGGCAGGCAGGCAGCCAGTCGACTTGGCTTTGGCTTTAGCTTGGCTCTGGCTCTGGCTCGGTCTCTGGGCCAAAATGAAAACGAAAATGGAAAATGTGTTTGGCTGTGGATGGGCAGGATAACAGGCGGGACAGGCAGCAGCAGCAGCAGCAGCAGAGGGACGAAGGCAGTATGCTGTTTGGGGCTGAAAGGACCGTCTCCGACAAGGATATTGCGCACGAGGACAGGATGGCTGCCTGGCTGACTCGTGGTGTTGATGATGATTACAGAGATGCGCAGATAGAAACTGAAGTCAGGCAGCTAGAGCTATCCAAACAGGCGAATGCGAATCGAGCAAAAAGCGTTTGCTTGCTTCGTTCCTTTCCATATGAAAATGCCATGTTTTTGTTGTTGGTGTTGTTGTTGCAATTGTTGTTGTTATTATTATTGTTCTTGTTGTTGTAAAAAGTCTAACACGCCAAGAATGTACAACGTTGTTCTTGTTGCTATTGCCACTGCCGTTGCTATTGCTGTTGCCATTGCTTTTGCTCTTGCTCTAGCTCTTGCTCTTCCTCTTGCTATTGCTGTTGCTCTTGCTGTTGTAATGTGATTCGCCCTACCAAGCGCCGCCTCTCCGCCTTGTTTTTCTACAAACAGCAATGAAGGACCACCAGAACAGCAGAACAACAGAGCAGCATCAGCATCAGCAGCTCCTAGTCAAGTCTCTGTGCACGAGTAGCTGAAAGGTCTGCTTGAGCCTTGGCTCGGCTGGTGGATGTGGGCCGGACGGGTCTGGCTTCGGTGCGGCATTAGATTGAATGGAATTGGGAGGGCGAATAGCGGGCTAACGCACAACCAAAGAACCCGAAAATATATTCCACCAGAAATGTTTATTAAATTTCTTGCATTTAAGCCATGAGATGTGTTGAGTTCAAATTAGAAATCGACTAGGCCAAAAACAAAGGATTTCAACTGTAAGATGTTTCACAATTAAAGATGCTTCGGCATTAATTATTGAATGCCTTCGAACTGTTATGCCAAAACGCCTGGCAGGCTAATGTCTTTTGAGCTAGCTCAAATTTGAATCATGTCTTGTAATCTGTGAGCTGCAATTAAAACAAAGAAACTTCGTTATGGCCCAAGCATGTTCAGACTATTGTTTTCGACTGAATTGCATTTGCATCAGTTGCTTGATAGCTAGGTAGATCCATAACTTGTCATCTAATTAGAAGTTGTTTTAATGGAATTTATGAAAATATTTTACAATAATAAAACACATTCACGATTGAGTTCGAAAAGAATAAATAGCTATCAGGTCAGAGGAAGTTAGGTGTGCATTAACAATTTAAAACTCGATCTGTGAATTGTACTTGACTTGATTTAGTGTAATTAATTTATATATTATATTTCTTTCGATGTTAAATGAATATCACATAGTTTAAATATTTATTAATAATAAAATAATGAATCATTTCATCAGTATAAACATTAATATGATTTCCCCAAGTTCGTAATCTGGATAGTCTTTGACTATAAAGTTTTAATTTAAAATTAAATTTAATGCTTGGTCCTTAAGACAGAGATACATTTTATGGATTTTAGCATCGATATTAATATAAGGGCTAATTATATTTAACGTTTTATTTTCAAGTGTATATTAGTGAATAACCTGAGCATCGTTTGCCATCATCATTATGCACTACTCAAAAATAAATGTGTATTGCAATAGCCAATTTTTGAAGATAAGCCCTACTCTAATGAGTGTCCTTCCCGCCCATTCGTAATGCTCGTCATTGTTGCTGGAGTACGTAACATGACCCACTAATTGGTTATGCATTGCACAGCGACGGGGCGACACCTCAGCCTTATAAGCCGAGCCCATACAGCGCCATGCCCCATGGGCGCTGCCCGCTGTGTAAGGTCAGCTCGACTAACCGC